TTGCAAAATGAATAAATTCTGGGTTTTTTAATTTATGAGTAGGCTTCTACCTTAATAGATAAAGCAAATATGGTATTTCAGATTAGTAAAATTCACAACTCGAAAATTTTGTTGTAGTTTGACTTGATATGCTTCAATAGATACTGCCAAATGAAGGTATGGTGTGTGTGTGTGACCAGAGGTGGATGGCAAAACAATATTGAGGAGTAATGTCAGAAGAAAATTTTTGGGTGTAGACTGCCCTCTGGTGGCTGAGATGTAGTTACATTTGTTTTTTCCCAGAAGGTTTCTTGTTGGGTTCCAGTTTGCCAGTCAGTGTAACTGTTGCGTGTTGAGTGTGTGGGCAAATTTAATAAAATAAGCTAACTATTATTAAATTATTTTGAAGGGCAAGGCAAACCAGTTGACCATCAAGGTGATTGCCCTAATGCCTCTGTGAAGTTTAAACTGACATATGACTTTTCATGTGCACGTAGCCAATGAAAGAAGGTTCAGACTTTGTGTACCATGGGTTAATTTCACCAGGATACTAAATAATAGATGGGTGTCATCTAAAAAATATAAAAAAAAATGAATTCCCTCCCATGATGCATTGCATATATGCTAATTAATAACATGTTCAGTAGTACAAAATTTGAATATGGTTTGAAATCTCTCAGGTCTTAGAATTATCAGGGAAGCAGGTTAGCAATCTTGCTTACTAATTCTGCATTTGAGTCAAAGCATATATATATATATAAGGCATAATGTCCTTAAACAAGCTGTTCTCTGATTGGTCTGACTGTTAGGTGTTAGTGTTGGGTAGCCAATCAGATACAATCTTGCAAGTAGCTTTGCAGTGACTCGCTAGCTTAAAGGGCATAATGTCACAGGGCAACAGACTTAAAACCAAAGTACATCATGGGGTTAATCACAGTTGAAGGCTAGAACTGATGATAAGATACAGTACATTAATTGAACTATGAACAAATAATTATTTTTACTTGATGAGATGAGATGAAAATGTTAGTTGAATTATATCTGAGTGTTTTTTAATTTTTTGATTGTGGAATGCGTTGTGTAAATTTCTAACAGAAAAAAAGCATCAAACATAAAAAAAGACTCAAAGTGGATTGACATGATCGTAATGTGGCCATTTTCTGCCAGGTGCTTGATTTTCTAGAAGAACTCAAATAAAATAATTATTGTTTTAGCAAAAATTGGATCCATGTTACAGAGGTTCAACTAATGAAAGGAATACAGTACTAGATTCTGTTTTGAGCCGCAGTAATGATTTGCAGCAATATCAAAAATACAAACGTAAATATCATTAGGGTAGAAATAAAACATACATCCTTAGAAAACATTGTGACTTAAAATTGCACTCTGAGATCATTTCTTTATTGGTTTCTTGAGTATATTATGTGAAATATATCATGGTCTGAACTATAAGCAAATTGTGGATAATATAACGATTTTCAGCAAGTCAGAGACCAGCGCCGTCAAGACTAGATTGGAAAAAGTTGTTTATTGACTGTGCGAATGGTTCTCTGATATATCTTTATTTATTTATTTATTATTTTTGTCATAGTTACATGACACATTCATATCTTCAATGAGTTCAAAGGTCATCATCACACCCACACAGTTGTACACTATATTACATTGAAGTGATATTGTCATTACAGGTGTTTCTTTTATAATATGTTGCATGTTCATTTCATTTAGTTTTATTTTGTTAAATAAACAACATTTTGGACATTTAATACAGCACATGTACTTCACAGAAACATCAAATATAATTTCCTATATTGCCATATCATTTAGCCTTGGGTGTCTTTCAATATTTATGATATCCTCTGTATTATTTATACACTTTAAGAAGGTTTTCATAGTTTTATTATTAATGGTTAAAATACCAACAGAGAACAACAACAAATTGGAGTCACCAGCCAATTTTTCGAGAACAAGAGTCTGAAATTTGCATTTTTGTCATGTATTCTGTGGTCAAATTATACTTGAAAATTTTGCTCTGTGACATTAGGTGAAACAAGTTGTATACAATGGGAACCCCCCCCCCCATATTGCATTGCACATATGAGTAGTACTGTAAAATACTTATTTTCGCTTGGAATTAATATCGCTATTTTCGCTGAAGTAATGTTTCACTGGGGTCCAAAGGAGTTGCAGTAACTTCTGTGTAGGCAATTTCATGTGCGGCCATTCTATGTGGGTTGGAGTTTGACTTTGTAACAACCATTGTCTCATCTCGACATTTGTGTATGTGTTTTGAGTGAAGGATTTCAAGGAGAAATGGTTTTATAATCCATGATAAAACAAGACATACTACATATTTGAAAGTCCAATCACTACCTGTGTATGCCGTTTTCCCAACACTGTCACTGTCTCTCTGCCATTTGCAAATGCTGACAGTGTTGTAGTGCATATTGCCAAAGTGACAATGTTTGAGTCACGACAGGGCTGTACGACTATCTTTCTATCTTAATGTGGCATGATGACATTTTAATGTGCTATCCTGATGCCAGCACATGCACTCGTGAACATTAACCAAGGTTCACCCACAAGTCAAGTCTGTCAGTGTTTTATTTTTGGCCAGTAATCTTTG